AAATCTTATGTAACATTCTCGTATTACATTTATAATAAAAGGAATGTTTACCAATTTTTTTCAAGACAGGGTCTTACTCTGTCACCCAGGCTGGAATGCAGTGGTGAGATTTCAGCTCACTGCAACCTCCGCCTCCCAAGCTCAAGTGATTCTCCCACCTCAGCCTCCCAAGTAGCTATGACTGCAGTGCATACCACCTTGCTCAGCTAATGTTTTTTTTTTTTTTTTTTTTAATTTTTTTGGAGATGGTGGTTTTACTATATTGCCCAGGCTATTCTCCAACTACTGGGCTCAAGCCATCCTCTCACCTCAGCCTCCCACAGTGCTGGGATTATAAGCATGAGCCACCATGCCTAAAAGTTTACTCATTTAATATTGGTAACAATTCTTCTGATGAAAGTATTGCAACATCTTGCAGGAAGATAGAAGGAAGGAAACCAGCTCTGGCTGGTTCACCTGCATTGAGACCTAGAGAAGTTGACAGGAAAGACAGGAGAGTAGGTCACTGTGTACTTTAAATATTGCAGTAATTTCTCCTCTCTTCCTCTACCTGTCCTTGCATCTCTACTCAGCCACTCAGTAGCTGTGTGTCTTTAAGCCACTTGCTCAATCTCTCTGGGCTCTGTTCTCTTACTTATAAAACTGGTCTAAAGATCCATCTGCTTCATAATATTTTGTTTGGCTTAAGTCATATAATGTATGCAGAATGCTTAGGACAGTGTCTAATGCAACTGAGTCTTTAATTAACAGAGAATTCCACATCATAGCTGTTTTGCCATTTGGGGAGTAAGGGCAGTGACTTGAAGGAAGTGGGATGGCTGTAGCTGAGTCTCAGCATGAGGCTTGTTGGTCTGTGTAGGGCTCATCCGCCCACAGCAAAAACCCAGGCTCTGGTCCACCAGCAAATCACCTGCTGGTGTCTGTACCTCCCTCCACATCACCACGCGCCTCCACCAGCTGAAGGCAACAGAAAGCTTTGATGAGATCCAATTAGGAATAAAGACTGTACATTCAAGAGGGCTGAGCAGTTCACATGGAGGGGAAAAAAGACCCTGAAATTAGTGCAAGTGCTCAGCTTATGTATCCTCACAAGCTAAACAGTGAAGAAAGATGTGTCATTTAGTAGGACTGACTCCGGGGGGTGTTCGCCTCTCATCAGCTGCGACACTATTATTTTGCAAATGACATCTCCATCTCAAGCAATGGTGTTTCCCTCTTATTCTAAAACACACATAAATAAATGATATTTAGAGAGCTGCTGACTGTGGAGAAGGCTTGCCTCAGATGAAAGAAAGGAAACTTGTATTTGCTGGAACGGATTCTTCACAAACCCCTGGGATGGGCTGTGTACAGATGAAGGTTTTGGGTTGACAGGGAAGGCATATCAAGCTTCTGTGCCTCCTATTGGAAGCCACTGAGGACTTTGGAAAATTAGAGGGATGTGCAGGAAGGCAAGAGTAGCCCAGGGAGAGCTCAAAAGCAAACCCTAAATACTTCAGAGCAGATTCAGGGACAGAGCTAGACAGAGAATGGTTTACTCATGTTGAACAAAAAGCAGTAGAAAGAAGCCAGGGGTTCTTGTCAATAGGACATGAAATATGGGAGCCCATGCCTGGATTGATTGACATGCTTTGTTTAGGAGCTAGGTCCTTTTGCAGTCACCATATGCATGGCAGGGTGGAAGAATGCCCTGAGTCCTCATCAACATTTGCTAACAGTGTGACCGGAACACTGTTTTTCTTGTTTGTGACATGAAGCTAATACCTCCCTTGTGGCTGAACCTACCTCACGATATTTCACCAGAAGACTTTCTGTTAAACTCTGAAGTGTTGTTGACCTGACTTTTCCTTCCCCTTGATGATAGGAAACCTTGATCTAGATGCCTTCTAGTATCTTCAGTTCGATCTAATGTCTGTCTTCCTTTTGTTGTCAAATTCAAGATTATTATTTAAGTGAGAGTCCAGGGATCAGCAAACATATTTAGTAAAGAGTGAGACAGTGAATATTTTAGGCTTTGGGGACCGTAAGATCTCCACTGCAAATACCAGACTCTGGTATCACGGCATCGTAGGTAAACAAATGGCAGTGGCTGCGCTCCAGTCAAACGTCATTTACAAAAGCAGGTGGCCAGCGGAATCTGGCCCAAGGCCCATAGTCTGCAGACCCTTGACATACTCCATCTGGGTTTTCCTCCTCCGCCAACCTCCTCATGCCATCCCCTCTCTAGCCTTACTTTCTGCTGAGTTAGCTGGGCAGCGGGGACAGCATTCATTTAGGGTTCCGGTAAATCTGCAGAAACAGGAAGCATGTCTAAGGACACTACGGAGGTCCCAACCCTTTCCACAAGCCCTCGAAGGTCTTCTACCTGTGTCCCTGTGTGCAGCCCCATACTCCATCAGACATCCCTGAGGCTGGAACCCAGACTGATTCTCCCAGTTAATGTGATACTCAGTGTGTTAGTCAGGGTTCTCTAGAGGGACCGAGCTAATGGAATATATATATATACACACACACACACACAAACACACACACACACATATATATGTATATGTGTGTGTGCGTTTGTTGAGTATTAACTCACATGATCACAAGGTCCCACAATAGGCTGCCTGCAGGAAGAGGAGCAAGGAGAGCCAGGCCAAGCTCCAGAATTGAAGAACTTGAGTCCGATGTTTGAGGGCAGGAAGCATCCAGCACAGGAGAAAGATGGAGGCTGGTAGGTGAGGCCAGGCTCTCTTTTCACATTTTTCTGCCTGCTTATATTCTAGCTTCGCTGGCAGCTCATCCAGATAAGAGTGGGTCTGCCTTTCCCAGCCCACTGACTCAAATGTTAATCTCCTTTGGCAATGCCCTCACACACACGCCCGGGATCAATAATTTGTATCCTTCGATCCAATCAAGTTTACACTTGGCATTAACCATCACACTCAGATTGGGCCCTTAGGAAACTTAGGGGCCCCTTTAATGCCACGTGGGAGGTTCAAGCTGTCTATGGCACTGGCTCTGTCTTCCTCTCTCCACCCCTTTGTGTCTGCTTCTGTCTCTCTGTCTCTCTCCGTCCATCCTCCCCTTTCCACCTCACCCTGCCTCCACTTGTACTGCTTTCCCCACCAGCTTGGCGGGGAAGCACCTGCAGAGGCTGCGCTCAGCAAATTCCAGCTGGGAAACACAATTCCAGCTTCCCATCTCCCCTGTCCACTTCAGCTTCCGCATTCTGGGCCAATGTCCTCTTTTATCCTACCTGGACATATCAAGGCCTAAGGCGCACAAGTTCCTGTTCCTGTTTCCACTGCACTGCACCACCCTCTACTTTTACCCCTGAGAAGGAGGGGTCTTGGAGTGCAATGGCCCTGTCCCTGAGCTTTGTGCTCAGTGTCTCCACAGAAATCACCCCTTTTCAGGTGCCCCAGAGTGAGGGGTAGGCAAAAGCAAATGGAGAGAACATTCAGTTAAAATCTTCCATTTCCTACCGTTGGTCTGTGGATCAAGGGAGTGCACATCTCCCAGCACCAAGCAGCCCCTTGTTATCTTTATTATCTTTGTTATCTTTGTTAAGCCTTATTAGCTTTAGGAAAAGTTCACCCAGAAGAATTCGACAGAGTCCATTTTGCCCAGGGTGCAGAAAAGACCATTAGGAGTTCACAGCCCATTAGAAAATCCCAAAGAGAGACCTGCCACAAAACCGGAAACATGGCCAGCCTGAGCGGCCATGGCCCCAGGGGCAGGAGCCATGTGTCTCCAGCCCTTAGGCTGGGGTCCAGCTGGTTCTGCTCCTTCAGACTCCATGGAGGAGCAGGGCGAGGGGTCCCCTGGGGACTGAGCTCAGACCCTGGCCTCTCCAGGCTGGAAGGGGAGGATACAAGGGAGCAGACACCGGTGTATGGGGACACAACTCACCGTTTCTCAGAGGTGGGAGAATCCCCCTGACGATCACTGTTGCAAGAGATGCCTCAAGGGAATATTAAGGCTAGGTCACATTTTCAGAATTTCAGAAACTTTTCCAGAACTGTTTTATCTTCTAGTTGTGGTGCCAGATGGTAATGTTCTGGTAAATTTCCATGTTCCCAAGTGGAAGGGTTTGGAAATGATAAACAAAACAAAATAAGCTAACAACAACAAATCTCTTTCACTACACGCTTGTCTTTCTACACTATCCTGGTTATGTAGATACTGTTAGTCAGGATTCTGTGTGGCTTTAACAAAACAAAGGTCTATTGCTCCCACACTGCACAGAGGGAACACAGGTCACTGTGTGTGTCACGTGCGTGCACTCGGGGCAGGGAGCTCCCCCCTCCGTTAGTCACTGGGGTTCCAGGCTGATGGGAACTCTGCCACCTTAAAAACTGCACCAGCTGAACACCTGCTTCCACCAGCACTATAGCAGCAGAGAGAACTGCTGCTCTCTTCTCATTCTCTTTCTTTCTTTCTTTCTTTCTTTCTTTCTTTCTTTCTTTCTTTCTTTCTTTCTTTCTCTTTCTTTCTTTCCTTTCTTTCTTTTCTTTTCTTTCTTTTCTTTTCTTTCTTTCTCTTTCTTTCCTTCTTCCTTTTCTTCTTTCTTTCTTTCTTTCCTTCTTCCTTTTCTTCTTTCCCTTCCTTCCTTCCTTCCTTCCTTCCTTCCTTCCTTCCTTCCTTCCTTCCTTCCTTCCTTCCTTTCTTTCTTCCTTCCTTCCTTCCTTCCTTCCTTCCTTCCTTCCTTCCTTCCTTCCTTCCTTCCTTCCTTCCTTCCTTCCTTTCTTTCAGATGGAGTCTTGCTCTTGTCACCCAGGTAGAGTGCAATGGCACAATCTCAGCTCACTTCAACCTCCACCTCCCTGGTTCAAGTGATTCTCCTGCCTCAACCTCCCTAGTAGCTGGGATTACAGGCGTGTGCCACCAAGCCTGGCTACTTTTTGTATTTTTAGTAGAAACGGTTTCACCATGTTGGCCAGGGTGGTCTCGAACTCATGACCTCAGGTGATGCACCCACCTCAGCCTCCCAAAGTGCTGGGATTACAGGCATGAGCCAATGAGCTACCACACCTGGCTTCTCTTCTCATTTTGATGCATTGGCCCCTGAGCGAACTATGCCCCGTCTCCCCAGTCCCGAGCAGAACTAGTCACATGGCCCTGTATAACCCTGTATAACTTCAAGGGGACAGAGGGAGAATCTGTCAAAGTGCATGGATATTTGATGAGCAGTAAATGGTTCTGCCACATAGATCTCAGCATCTTCTAGACCCTATTAACAGCTGCTTTAGAGAGGAACATTTTATTGGCTGTATTATTTATGTATCCATTCATTCATTCTAAATAATTATTGAATACCTCTTGGTGAGCAGGAGAGAACCTGCCCCTCCCTCGTATGGCTTGCAACAGTGAAATATTGTTGTGTGACTGATGCTGTGATAGGCACAGGACAGGGCACCCCAGAAGTACAGAAAACGTGTATGTGCCTGGAATATGTCAGGAAAGGCCTCCCAGAGAAGTTAAGGCTGCAGCTGACCCATGAAGAATGGTTGGGGATTTCTCCCAGTCAGACCTAGATCTGTAGCAGAAAACGCAAGTCAGGAACCTGCCTCCCTGGTCAGAGTTAGACCCTGCGAGTGACTGCCTTCTGGAGCAAGGACAGTTAAGGAGCAGACAATATGCCCCACATGTTATAAACAGAGACTGCCTTAGGCTGATTGTGTTTCTTGCCTTATCCCAAAGAGTACACATCACCTCTCCGAGGTGGCTCACCTCCAGCGGCCGAAGTTGAGCCACGTGGAGGAACTCGCTCAATCGGTTTCTGTTATAGATATGAAATTACTAATAACCGGGAGGTAGCTGTGCATGTGTGGACCCTCCTCCCAGCAGCCCTCTCTGGGGGTTTGGGGTGAGGGTTGTAGGGAGACACCTTGCTGTTTAATAAATAATAGAAGAGATTCATAAAGTGTCTGGGAAGCACATTCCTCATGCAGAAATGTTACGGAATAACACAGGATGAATAATAGAAAAGGTTATTGAAAAATTCATAATTTCCAAGTGCCAGTGAAGGGCAGCTCCTGTACAGTCTATTTGCCTGTAGAAAAGTGATTAAAATATATATTATTGTCCTGTCTATAGGAAAATGTATTATTAAGTGGATACTAGCGTGACATTTGAAAAATCCATTTCATTCCATTTAGCAGCAACGGGCTTTTGGCTGCTGCTTTGTGCAGCAGGTTTCACAAGCATTTTAATAAGCCATTTAAAAAACAAAAAGGGGATTTTAATTATGGCCCCCTGCCTCCCAGCCATGCTATTGCTTGCATTTACAGTTCTTCTGCCAGAGAAATTTAAAACATATAATAGGGAATGTAAATACCCTGCCTAACGTTTAGTAGGCCCACTGCCAAGAAAGGAACATGACCATTGGCCAGGAGGTACTTATGGGCTGCAGGAAGGCAGAATGGGAGATAGGTTTGCCTGTCCAGACACAACAAGAAACAAAGCCTCAGTGTAAGAGGCCCATAACCCCTGCCAGCCTTAAGTGTCACTACTCTTCTGTATAAACATTCACTTTTTTTTCCCATATGAAACCAGGAGTTACTTTTGAGGTCTAATGAGAAACAGTTCTTATTTCTGAATAATGAATTGAGTCGGGATCAGGGATCATCTGATTTGCCCATCTGCTTCTTGGCAGAATGCATCTCCTCAGCTTGAAGATCATATGCCCAGTACAGCTCGGAGCTGGATTCTGAATAGATTCAGGTTTGGAGCTTGGGATGGGCACCTCTCCGTGCCTTGCTCAGTATTCAAATTCTCCTATAAGTTGGGTAAGGGCCAGGAGGCAGGATGAGATCTGAGAGGGGTGGGCCATGCCCTTTCAACCTCAACCTCCATTTGGCTTGGACAGCTCTCTGGTCCGGTGGTCTTTCGGGGAGCATACAGATGGATAGTGGTGGCAGCAAGGTCATTCCGGCAGTTGGTGTAGGAATTGAGGCAGAAGGAGCATGATGCAGCACAGCACCATCACAGTCCCAGTCTCTTCCCTACTAACTGTAAGTTTGGCAGAGTCACCTGGCCTCTCTGGGTCTCTCTGCATTTTAATAGTGAAACTCTTTGGGTTTTTAATGACAAAAATAGAGCAATTTACACCATATCATAGTTTTAAACATTTTTCTTTAAGACCCTTTTTTAATAATTAAATCATTTGTTTTAATGAAATCTCATTTGGAAGCAGATAAAATTGTTTCTCTAGTTGAAGAGGGATTAGGGGACCAAAATGCCTCCCACCTCAAAACCCCTTCCCTCTCCTTTTTTTTTTTTTTTTTTTTTTTTAAGGCAGCCCCAGGAAGCCTGTAGTTCTGATTCCAAGGGGATTCCTGGAGCACAGTATGAAAACCAATGCATTTAATGATATATAAGGTCTCATCTGGCTCTAAGTTTCTCAAAATGAACTGTGGCCTGTGTCTGACTCATTGGGATGAGAGAATGTCTTTTCTGGCCTCATTTTTACTCCTCTTTATTTAGTCATATATACGTGTACATTTATTCAACAAACATTTACTGAGAACTGCACATGTGTTGCATTTATTCTAGAATACTGGAGTAAGCACTGTCTGAATATGGATCATGAGCAAGACATACTCCTTGTTCTCTCTAATGAAGCAACAGGCACCTAAACAGCGTGCTGTATGGTTCAAAACACAGGAAATAAGAGTTATATTGGTGGCACAAATAGGTTTTTTACTAGTAAAAATTATGAATTAGATTTAAAAAGGAACTAAATCTCTCTCCAGTTTATTTTTCAGGCCACTTTATTAATTAAAGTACTGAATTCATCTTTTGGGTCTCTGTATGGGTGGCAGATTGCTACTCAGGCAGGCTGTACCAGGAGGCTGCCTCAGTTGCTGAAACACTGAAAATAGTTCATTTGGGTTGGTGAATAGATCCTGCCAAAATTCCCTGAATGGCCTTTGTTGTTCTGTTAACTTAAACCCACCTATCTCCAACATTTTCTTGATTCACCTATTCTCCTAAACTGCAAGAGTAAGGATGGGGGTTTCCATCGCCATGTGGTGCAGTGTTCAGAGCCTGGTCTGAGTGGTTAATACCAGTATCTTACCACTTATTAAATAAGTCGAAAATATCCTTCTCAAAAAGTCGGTCTCTATCAATGCTTCCTTTCGATTCCAAGTTCCCAGAAGACTGGCTCTACTTAATATTCACTCCCCATAGAGTTCCCAGTGTTTTCCTGGCTTGACAATCAGATAGTGAAACTAACATCCCTCTTTGGCATTTTAAAATTGCTTCGGATTCTCTACACTCTCCCTAGGTGATCTCATTTAAGTGGCATCTTTATGTTAATGACTCTCAAATTTATATCTTCAGCCCAAACATCTCTGAGTTCTAGACTCACACATCCATCTGTCTACTTGACGTCTCCACTTGGACACCTTTCAGAAAGCTCAAACTTAACATTCTCCAAGTTGAGCTTCCTTTTTATGTGATGCTATATATCTGTCCCCATCAATTGTCCCTATGTCAGTAAATGGAACCACCATTGACTCAGGAGCTCATGCTAAATGCCCAGGAGTCATCCCTGAAGCTTTCCTTTCACTTACCACCTATATTTAATTGTCAGCAAGTCCTGTCCATTCTACCTGCAAAATACATCTTGTAATCAGACTTCCCTCTTCATCTCCACTACTGCCATCTTAGTTCAAGGCACAAATGTATTTCTGCCCAACAATTAACCAGTCTCTCAACTTCAACTCTTGATCTGGCTCAATTAATATTCTATACAGCAGCAATTGTGATAATGTCACTCCTTTGCTCAATCCTGTTAATCTTCCTCCATTGCAGTGAAATTCAAACTTCATCCCCTAGACTGTAAGCCCTGCACCTGTGTCCCATGCTTGCCTCTCCCCACTAACTCAGTGCCATTTATCATTTTCTTCATGCTAAACCACATGGCTTCTCTCCATCCCTCCAACATACCCACTTCAGGGTCTTGACTTTATCCTCTCTCTGCTTAGCCAGTGCTTCTCAATTATAATGTGTGTATGAATAATTGGGAATCTTATTAATATGAAGAATACAATTCCACAGACTTAGGGTGAGGGCCAAAATTTGCATTCCTGGTAAGCTCTCAAGTGATGCTAATAACCCTGTTAGTCCATGGACCATAGTTTGAGTAGTGTGTAGTGTGGCTTCAGTTACTGTTATCCCAGCTTATTGCTTGACTACTTCCTCCTCATTTTAAGAAATCAGCTTGATTGAGATATGATTCACATAACTTACGATTCAAAAGCTTAAATTGTGAAATGTATTGGTGTTTAGTATATTGACAGAATTGTGCAACTATAAGCACAGTTAATTCTAAAACATTTTCAAGACCCCATGAAGAAATTTTGTACCCATTAACAGTCACTCTTGACATTGTCCCGTACACTCAGTCCTGGGCAACCACTAATCTACGAATGTCCCCACAGATTTGCCTATTTTGGACGTTGAATATCAATGGACTCATATACTGTGTGGTCCTACGTGACTTACTTCTTCCACTTAGCATCATTTTTCAAAGTTCATGTGTGTTGTAGCATGCAGGTTTCATACTCTGCTTCCTTTTATGGTCAAATAATATCCCATTGTGTAGATCTGCTACATTTTGTTTATCCATTCATCATTTGATGGACATGTGGATTGTTTTTACTTTTTACCTATTATCAATAATGCTGCTATGAACGTGCATGTACAAGTTTTAGTGTAGACATATATTTTTGTATCTATTCAGTATTTGACTAGGAGTCGGTCATATGATAACTCTGTGTTTCAAATTTATAGGAACCGTCAAACTGTTTTTCAAAATGTGGCCACACCATTTGACAGTCACATCACCAGTGTGTGAGGGTTCCAATTCTCTGAGTTCTCCTCAATCCTTGTTATGACCTGTCTTTTTTTACTATAATCTTCCTCGTGGGTGTGAAGTGGTATCTCATTGTGGTTTTGATTTGCATTTCCCTAATGAGTAGTGATGTATATTTTCATGTGGTTATTGGCCATTATATATATTTGTATATCTTTGGAGGTAGGACTATTCAGATCCTGTGACCATTTTTTAAATTGAGTATTTGCCTTATTATTGAGTTATAAGAGTTCTTCATATATGTGGGATACTAGTCCTTTATTAACTATATTGTTTGCAAATATTTTCTTCCACTCTGTAGCTTCTTTCACTTTCTTGATAACGTCCTTTGAAGCACAACATTTTAATTTTGATGAAGTTCAGTTAATCTAGATTTTCTTTTGTCACTAGTGCTTTTGTTGTCATATCTAAGAAGTTGTTTTGTGGCCCAAGGTTGCAAAGATTTACCCATATATATTCTTCTAATAGTTTCTTTTTATTTTCATTTTAGCTATTATGTCAAAGTCCATGATCAAATTTAAGGTCTTTTTTTCTTTCTTTTTTTTGGGGGGGAGGGGGTGGGGAGGGGTAGGAATCCCACTTCCTTCCTTTTTATGTGGATACCTAGTTGTCCTGGCATCAGTTTTTAACAAACTATTCTTTCCCTCATTGAGTTTTCTTGGCACACTTGTCAAAAATCAATTGATCATGTATTATATATGTGAGGGTTTTTTTTCTGGACTCTATTCTATTTCATTGGTCTATATGTCTGCCCTTAAGTCAAAACTCACACTGTTTTGATTACTGTAGGCTACTAGTACATTTTGAAATCAGGAAATGTGAGGCCTCCAACTTTGTTCTTATTTTTCAGAACTATTGTATCTATTGTGGGTTTCTTGATTTCCATATTAATTTTAGGATCAGCTTGTCAATTTCTGCAAAAAAAAAAATGGCAAATCGAGATTTAGATAAGGATTATGGTGAATCAATCAATACACTTAGAAGTTTAACATTTTAAAAGTATTAAGTCTTCCAATCTGTGTTCACAGAGTGACTTTTCATTTACTTGGGTCTTTTAAATTTCCTTTCCGTAGTGTTTTATAGTTTTCAGAGTGGAAGTTTTGCAATTATTTCATTAAAATTATCCCTGAGTACTTGACTCTTTTTGATGTTGTTGTAAATGAAATGATTTTCTTGATTTCACATTTGGATTGTTAACTGCTAGTGTAGAAAAGTATAATTTGTTTTTGTATATTTATTGTGTACCCTTTACATTTGCTGAATGTATCTCTTAGTTCTAATACTTTCTTAGTGGATTCCTTGGAATCTTCTCTGTATGGGATTATGTCATCTGCAGACAGTGATAGCTTTAATTCTTCCTCTCCAATCTGGAAGGATTTTATTTATCTGTTTTGCCTGTGCTATGCTGAACGCAAGTGGCAAGAGTGAACATCCTTGTACAGTTCCTAATCTTAGGGGGAACGCTTTTAGTCTGTCCCCAGTAAGTATGATGTTAACCCTGGGTGGTTTGTACATGCCCTTTATTGGGGTGAGGACGTTTCTTTCTATTCCTAGCTTGTTGAGTGTTTGTAACATTTAAAGTTTGAAAAAGATAAATAAAGGTGCCCTCTTCAATTTGAAGTCAGCTTCAATGGTTCCTTGGTAGAGAGTCCTATTCGTAGCTGCCTGGAAGCCTCTTACTGGACTATCTCACCTAAGGCAGCTCCCCCACCCCACTCTATTAATCATTGTTTCAATTCTGTGCTTTCTTTTTGATGCTACTTATTTATAATTGTAAATGCTCTTTCACAATTGTTTTCTTTTTTCTTTCTCTGCCTCACTGCATCAAGAGAAACTGTCCCCAAGGACAACAAGAGACCAAGTTCGTCCAGTTCACTGCTGTGTTTTCTGTTTGTTTGCTTGTTTTTGAGATAGGGTCTGGCTCTGTCATTCGGGCTGGAGTGCAGTGGTGCCATCACAGTTCGCTGTAGCCTCAACCTCCCTGGCTAAAGTGATTTGCCTACCTCAGCCACTGTGGCTCAAACGATTCACACACCTTCAGGCACGCAGCACCATGCTGGGCTATTTAAAAAAATTTTTTGTTTGTAGAGATAGGCTCTCAGTGTGTTGTGCAAACTGGTCCTGAACTCT